CAGGCATTACAAATTCAAAAGGTGAAAACAGGAGTTAGATGATCTCACCATGAGTACATCCTTACAGCTATCTATTTTGGTAGTGCACAGTTCCCCAATCTCACTGGGGGACTTTGCCAGGCACCAAGCCCTATAATCATTTGGAAATTTGAGAATGACCCCTTAAGTTCAGATTAAATGGGGCTTAGTGACCTGAACTGAGATGTGTGTCCACCTTGGAATCTCCAGTTTCTAAAGGTAGCCTTTTATATCATTGGTGGTGGTGTTGTACATGCATGTTGTTATTTTCCACAAGGGCCCATCACCATGTAAGTATCCAAATGTTGACGAGTAATCATATGATACATCTATTGCTTATGGTTTTTTCATTTTTCGTTCTTGGAATTTGCCAGGGGAAAAAAATGGACCTTTTTTCCAGTAGTTATTACACTGTGACATATTCATATCACCCTACGCAGAAATGTGGACCATTTTCCAAATTGAAATATACAATAATCACTACAGGAAATTGCTTTCCCTATTGGAAACTGATCTCCAGCATCTGAATGTTTCCACCAGCAAAGCTGATGACAATTACGGCTTGCTGTAATTTCGGTTTTATTTGATTCGAGGGGGCATAAATTAAAAGCCAATTATCCCTTAAGGTAATTGGGTCTATGGAATGGAGGGCCTTCTTGAGCTGGTGTGTCAGGACCCAAGGAGGCCAGGACTTTGATCAAGTAAGTGAGGCCTTCTGTCTTCCCAAGCAACATTTATTAAATCGGTGGGGTAAGGTGATATGCGCACTGTGAATTCTGAGAGATCACAGCCGACTTGGTTACAGGCCTTCAAATAAGCTTGTGAGCTCTTTCAAACATCTTGGAAACATTAAAATATGTGGAAATCACAATGGGGAACAGAGGGCAGGCTGTGTGTTCTGTAAGAGAGCTGAACAACACACCAAAGACGGAGACTCCGGTTTGCCCCTGACTCAGACATGGAGCACAAGATCATGCTATTTAGAACTGGAAGGGACCTCAGTTATCATCTGGTCCAAGCTGCCCACTTGGCAGATGAGGAAACTGAGACCCAGATTGGTTAAGCAATTTGCCCACGAGTGGCACATAGCAGAGCAGAGATTTGAACCCAAGTTCTCAAACTCCCACCTTTTCCTTCTCATCTGAGAGCTAGCTTGAATTAGTATATTAAAATAGTTGACTAGAGAGATGCCAAATCCAGACCTTTGACTTTGCAGTTAAATATTTTGCCAAAAGGCAGTGGAGGGGGATCGAGAGAGAGTGACCCATTTCTGAAAAAAATTTAATTGAGTTTCAGGGGCAAGTGACAAGAGGAAGCATTGCGGGTCCAAAGAAACATCCTATTTTTAATAGTTGAGTGACTTGCCCAGGCTCACACAGCTAGTTAAGTGTTTGAACTCACAAAGATGAGACTTTCTGAATCCCAGTTTTTCTAGGCACTATTGCTCCACCTAGCGGCCCAACATTGGGGATTAGGTGCGTCCAAAGAATCTTGGGTTTAGAGCCGGAAGGGACTTCAGATCTAGACCATCTAAACCAGTCTCCTCATTTTACCATTGAGGAAACTGAGGAAGAGAGGTGAACTGACTTCCCCAAAGTGACCCTGATGACATCTGACCCCAAGTCCCCTCTATTACGCCAATGATACCTGTTCTATACACACAACAGGATAGATAAACTTGCTCTCTGGCTTTAAATGTTTCTTCTCTTTTCCACTCTTTCATGTACTTTAGTATCACTTGACCTGGAGTTAAGACAGACTTGGGGTTTGAATCCTACCACTGACTCTTACAAGCTGTATGACCTAAGGCAAATTATTTAACCTCTCTGAGATTCAGTTTCACCATCTCTGTTGTTGTTCAGTGATATTCAAGTCTAAGTGACCCCATGGAGAAAGTTTTCTTGGCAAAGATGCTGGAGTAGTTTGCAATTTCCTTCTCTAGTGTGTCCCCATTTTACAGATGAGGAACTGAGGCAAAGAGGGATTAAGTAACTTGCCCAGGGTTACACAGTCATGTTTCAGAGCAGGATTCAAACCCAGGTCTTCTTGGCTCCAAGGTCAGCCTTCTATCCACTAGACAATATTGTCTCTCCAGCCATTGCTAACACTCTATAAAATGGAGAGTTTGATCCTGCACAGACAAGAAGAGAGGCCTCCTTATTCTACACAGTCTTAAAGCTTTCAAAACACTTTCCTAATTACAAGCCAGTGAAGAAGGAAATTGAAGAATTCACATCCCCATTGGACAGGTGGACAAGCTGAGGCTTGGAGACATAAAATGGTTTGCTCTTAGTCAGAAGGCCAGGATGTGTCAGAGGTGACACCTCTTAACCCATGAGCTGGAGAAGTAAATGGCAAACCATTCCAGTATCTTTGCCAAGAAATTGCCATGATTTTTTGATAGAGTGTGGTGGATAGAAGGCCAGCCTTGGAATCGAGAACTCTGTCGTTGTCATTTTGTTTTCAGTTGTATTCCGTTTCCCATGACCCCAAATGGAGTTATCTTAGCAGAGGTATTGGGGAGATTTGCCATTTCCTTCTCTAGCTCATTTTACAGATGAGGAAACTGAGGCAAACAGGGTTAAGTGACTTGCCCAGGGTCACCCAGCTAGTAAGTGTCTGAGGCCACATTTGAACTCAGGTTGATGAGGCTTTCTGGTTCCAAGCCCAGTATTCTGTGCAATAAGGTGACCCCTAGCTGCCTTTGGAGTCACAAAGATCTGGGTTGGAATCCCAACTCAGACACTTAGTAGTTGAGTGGTCCAGGGTAAGTTACAATCTCTTAGCACTCCCAAAAAACCTCCCTAACAGGAGTTTTTAATGTTTTTTGTATCATATACCCTTTGGAAGGTCAGTGAAGCCTGTGGATCCTTTTTTTTTTTTAATTCACAGACCTCAGGTTAAGAATCCCTATTGCACAACCATAGTTTACAGACCAGATGCCAATCTGTGTCCATAGAAGGAGTTTCCAAAGCAGGAGTTCTCCCTCATTAATGGCATCATAGTTCATAGGATCATAGATGTGGAGCTAAGCAAGGACCTTTATTAAAGTCTCTCTAGCCCACCTACCCACCACTCTTTTCCAACTGAGAAAACTGAAGCCCAAAGACTTAAGTAATTTTCCTCAGGTGTGTCAGGTAGCAAGTATCAGAGGTAAGATTTGAACCCAGGTCCTCTGACTCCAGGGGCAGGGCAGCTAGGTGAGGCAATAGATAGAGTACTGGAACTGGCCTCAGGAAGACACATCTTCCTGAGTTCAAATCTGGCTTCAGACACCTACTAGCTGTGTGACCCTGGGTAAGTCATGTGACTCTGCCTCAGTCTCCTCATTTGCAAAATGAGCTAGAGAAGGAAATGGCAAACCTCTCCAATATCTTTGCCAAGAAAACCCCAAATGGGATCACAAAGAGTTGGACAAGACTGAAACAATTCCAGAGCCAGTGTGTTTTCCACTCTACCACACTGCCTCCTATTAAGAAAATGGGCTATGCCCATATTGCCCTATTCAATGAGAGTTGGTCCTTTCCCCAAAGCCTGACATGGGAGAGCTGTCATTCCTTCTTCCATCCAGAATCATAGTGTCACATAGGATTACAGATTTCAATCTGCAAGGAACCTTAAAGGCTTTCTAGTACACACACACACACACACACACACACACACACACACACACACTCATTTTACAGATTAGGAAACTGAGGCCCAAAACAGTGAAGAGGTACATCCAATGTCACACGTGTAACAAGTAGCAGAGCTGGGATTTGAACTCAGATTCTCTGGCTCTACGGTCAGGGCTCTCTTACTATACTAGACATGAACCCATCACTAAATTTGGAGAGGTCCAGTTTAGGGCTGCTGGAGTAACAATCCACAGCTTTAAAAGCCTTAGATTTCAAAAGGTGATAATTGCTATGGGGTCCATAACCACTCAGAAAGCATGAATCAACCCGTTTTTCAAAACCTGCTGAGCTTCCCTTGGATGAAAGGTCTATAAGCCAAAAATAAAGCCCACCTCTGGAAAAAGAACATTATTCCACAAGAGAGCCCAGAAGGCCAAACGAGCCCCCCAGTCGGTACAAGACTATCACGTCAAACTCCAGACCATTTAAAGGTCCCTAGAAATCAATCAGACCCTATTCCTAGGGAAGGATTCGAGTTCTTCTCTTGGTTTTTCCCACCTTGTTCCATAATCCCCCTCCTTTTATCTCCCCCGTCTCTAAGGAGCAGGACAAATCGTGTCTATAAAATATCACAACCCGATTCTCAATGGCCAAGAGTGGAGATGCAAAGTATATATTATAAATAGAAAAACAGCTGGCTTCGGAGCACACCGCAAAACCACTAGCACACTGGAGGGATTTGCATGACATCATAACCCTGGAGAGGGTATTACTGGCCAGCTGGTGTTATTTCAGAATATACACAAATTGGAGGGGGCAAAAAAAAAAAATCCCCAAAGAAGGTCAAGGTAGGCAAGGGGAAAGAAAGAGGGGGAAAATAATGAGCTCTAAGGTGCCGTCTCTGAGAGTAGTCAGGCAGTCTACTAATTAGAGGACGGAAGGAAAGAAGGAGAATTTTCTTTTTTCCTTTCTTTCATTTTTCTTTGTGGTTGGCTGTCCAGCCCAGCACCAGGATACCGGGCAAAGAGCATGAGACAGTGACCTAAAGTAGGCCGATTGCATCGCTGCATTCCCCTTATGTAGGTTCTAGGAAATGAGATCATTCCCCCTCACGTGGCTGCTGGGAGCTCACCGAGGTATTTGCTCCCGTGTGTTACAAGTGAGGGTTCACGGGGGGCAGCGGCTGCTGGGGAACCAGCTTCTTCTCCCCCTCTTTGGGCATTTCATGGTTAAACCTGGAAGGCTGGCTGCCTGGGGAAAATCTTTTCTCTGCGCTAGGAGACAAAGGCACCCCGGGCCCCCCCACTTCCGTCACCCCCCACCCCCACCCCTTTCTGCTCTTGAGAAGCTGCTAAGGTGTACGGGCAAATGTACTTCTCGGCCATGGGAAGGGTTAATTATCATACAACTCCTTGTTTTCTGTGGCAGCCCGAGGATTTTAATGTCTGCTAACCCCACCACTAACACACATTCTTTTCGGGGTGGGGGGGGGGAGAAATGCTTCTGTGCTCTAGTTTTAAAATGCAAAGGTATGATGTTATTTGTCACCATGCCCAAAAAAGTCCTTACTTGATAACTTTGCCAGAAGAGGGAGAGAGAGAGAAGGCAAATGTTCCCCCAGCTGTTTCCTGTCTACAGTGTCTGTGTTTTGTAGATAAATGTGAGGATTTTCTCTAAATCCCTCTTCTGTTTGCTAAATCTCACTGTCACTGCTAAATTCAGAGCAGCTAGAGCCTGCGCAATGGAATAAAGTCCTCAAAATTGAAATGTGACATAGCTCTCGACAAATTCCCCATCTCTCTGGATTCCTCTTCTCCCATTATTACTGCTCACCAATTCATTTTCAGACTTTGCACTTCAGAAGCAATGGACAAATTCAACAGTCTTTCAACACAATTCTCTAAGTGCTGCCTTTGTGATTTCTTGAAGGTAAATCTTTCTTACTCTTCGCAAGCATGTGGGTATTTTGTTTCATTGGATTATATTTTTCAATTTTTGGTGTGTTGCATGCCCTCTGCTTGGGAGTGGTATTCACTTGTAAATTACATTGTTTCTGGGGGGTAGGGGGAGACGGTAATTTACAAACTGCTGACTGTGCAATTTTGTTGGGGAGGGGGTCTAGAAAATAGCTCTGGGGAATAAGTTGCATTTCCAACTGCTGCAGGTACTTGGACTGACTTCCACTTTTGCAAGCTTTCATGTATATCATTGTTGGAGATTCCTTTGCATCTTATCTATGGTCAGAGGCTGTGAATCCCCCCGGGGAACAGAAAGTCCCAGCTGTTTTCTGCAGGTGCAGATGTTATCCTTTGAACCCTGGGGGCTTGTCTCGGCAACTTTGTCAGGACTGGGACTGTGATCCATGGCATATGTGTCCTGAGTGGCACCCAGGGGGTGATGTTAGAACTTTTGCATATTATGTTGGTGTCTAAACTCCTGGTGTTGGTTATGTATGCACTTACCTCCGACTTCAGCCATTCAAAGTTAAAGGGAAATTGAGTCGGCTCTTTGGGAAATCAACCTTTGCGACTCCTGCTGACCTTGCATATTCCTATAGATGCGAGCAAATGTATACTGTATAAGGAAAGCGGAAATTACTCCAGCAGCTGCCTGTCCAACTTCTCCCTTCTGGGGAGGGCTTCTGGAGGCGAAAGTTTAGCTGTGGGGTTTCATGTCAGAGAGCTCTCTCTCCTTCGGGCTCGCTGGTGGCAGGGCTCTGAGTAGGTAAACCTGGCTTGCTGGGGATGCACTGACCTCTCTCTCGGCTCCTCTCCCCTGGCCCCGGTTCAAGTTTCCATTCCTGACACAATCAGAGCCTTGGAGACGGGTGTTTTTTCAATTTGCTGACACTTTTGTGCCGGGGACACCACCACCGCCAGAGCTGTAATTGCCTCGCAGCTCAATTCATAAATGGTAGTTGTTGCTTAATGGCAACCTTCATTCACTGTTCTTTCAGTGATCCCACCGAGGGGGTTAAGGGGGACCGGGGCGGGAGGGAGGCTACATTAGATAAGTCAGGGACTTGGCCATTTCTGGGACCCACATGCGGGGCGGGGGCACCCGGTCCTGACCCCCTGGAGGGTACTCATCGATTTTGACCCTGAGCACAGCAGTATTATAAAAGGCATGAAAAGCAACCAATTGTCTTTGTCTGGGTTCCTGTCCAACACTGTGGCATGTGGCATGTGGCAGAGTCCACGTCATTACATCGTACCTACATGTTGGCGCAACTTTTGTCCTTTTGCAACCAACTTGCCAAGTCCTTCTGTTCTATGTGCCGGGCACTTTTCAGAGATGGAAAAAACCCACGAGGAGTCACTTTTTCCCCCCCTGTACCTAAATTGGGTAAATGACTTGGCTCCAACCTTAAAATGTAATGGAGTGAGCCACCAGGGTCCTGCTCACGGGCTTAATTCTCTGCCCCCCACCTCACCTCCCACTCCACATGACTCCAAACATTTCCAAATAGTGGAGTCAGGAGGGAAGAGGTGAAAAAGGTAAGCCAGGCGCTCTGGTCATTTGACTGACCTGCCCCAATCCTGTGCTGCTGTAATCGGAATGCAATGGGAACTGGTCCCTTTACTGGGGGAGTGGGGGTGGGGGACGGAAAGGACCCACTGGAATTCCAGCTGTGTAGTGAGCCCGGTGTTTGAATGGACAAAAGGCCGTTTACCCAGTCCCCTGGTATACCTGCCCTGAGTGTCCAAATGTAACTAGATGCTTTCACAAACCCCACCCACAGAGCAGCACATGTTTCTTAAAGTCTTCAGCTTTCAATTCACATCAGCCACATAATACCCACCCTGACCTGCTGTAAAAGACCTGCAACCCAATTGTCACACCTCCGTGAGTATTTTCTTATGAATATTACCCTGCAATTTCCTTGGCCCCATTGACTGGAGCCCAGACATCTTGAATCAATTGAGGGGCCATTTAATTAAAATTCAGATCAAAGAAGTTTTCTCTGTAGATTGGGTTCCTGAAGGACTTTTGAGGGAACGGTGTTTCTAGTTTAGATTTCTTTTTCTTCCTTCTCCCTTTCTTTTTTTTCTGAGTTTCTTCCTCTTTTCCTTTCTTATTTCTTTCATTTTTCTCTCTTCCTTTTGGTAAAATAAAGGAGCCACAGTAAATGATGAACATATGGGTCGACTTCTTTCAAACTTTTCACTCACAGGCAAGCTCTTTATTGTTTTCTTTTTTGGAACACCGTGTGGATAAATTTTCGGGTTCTCTCTGTGGGTGTACTGGACTGTTCCCTTGGCCTTCATTAAAGGAAAAACCACTAGAGGATCTATCTTGTCCTAGGACTAAAGTGCTGATGTTTATCTTACAATGTAACCCAGCTGAAAACTTTGAAAAGCCCAACTTGTTCGGTATTGGAGATTTATGCTTATAACTGGCCTTAGCGTTTTCTATCTGAATGAGCTGTTAAAGACATAAGTTCTGACATCTATCTATCTATCTATCTATCTTATCTATCTATCTATCTATCTATCTATCTATCTATCTGTACATATGTGTACATATGCATTTGTATTTGTGTGATATATATGTATATGATGTATGTGTATATGCCATATATTATATTTTATATATATATATGTGTGTGTGTGTGTGTGTGTGTGTATACACATATATATACATATCATATACACACATATGCTAGGGTTTAGTCTGATGAGGCTGTGTGGTGGACAATTTTACCAATGTATTTTTTTTTAAGAAGTGAGGAATTAAAAGCCAATTGTGATTACAGGTGCCTGACCTATCAACTCAAGATCTGGGGAAAATAGAGTTGCATAAAATAAAAGAGAGGAAAGGATGAAAAAAGAGTGAAGTGGGGAGAAGAAATGAGTTAGAAATTATGGATTCTAGAAATGGCCGTACCTAGACAGTGGTATGTCTTCTAATATTTTTCAAGGACACATGTTCTTTTTTAAAGAAAGTGTTGAAGTCACATTGGGTTATGTTTGGGGTACATTTGTTGGGGTTTCTATTGGAAGTGGAAGAAGAAGAAGAAAAAATTTCCATGCAAGAAAATGGAAATTGGATGCTTTCTTGTTTCTTATAGCCTCAGTGGATTTAGATATGTGGGTGGTTTCCATTCAGAGGTGCCATTGAGAAAATGGAAGAAATGTTCAACCTTCTCTTCACCACCTCTTCCATTTCATGTTGGTTATTTATAATGCGTTGCTGTATATTTTACAAGCATTTGCTAAATATTTATGCTGTGTTAATGAGAGTCAAGGGTTTGGGTTCTTTGCCAAGTGTAGGAATAAAAAAGTCTGGCCACAAACATGGAAATCTTAATTAAAATGACCTAGCAAACTTTGCAACTGATGTAAAGCTATTAAGTTGATAGTTCATAGAGTGCAAAGGTGGTGGTCAGGAAATAAATGATTGCATCCAGGTCTTCAAAGGGGAAGGGGTTGGATGGGAATGACATTGTGATGAGGTTCAGAGAAGCCTATTTTAGAATGATGGCTTCTAGTTGCTGCTCCAGGTCCTACCTGCCCAGGAGACAATTCATTTTACCCACTGTCCCAGCAGACTTTCCCTCTGATTTCACTGATGTGTGGATAAGACCAAGAGGGAAGTTATGCTTCTTAAATCTGAAGACTTTTTGGGAACAGCCAAAGCTTTGAGACATAAGTTGACACCACAGAAAACCAAATGATCATTTTCAAATTGGTTTTATTCTTCTTGAGAATAGACCTGGGACTCAAGCCTCAGGAATCCATTTCCTGACTGGGTTACTATTTTGTTTCTCTCTCTATGACTGGCCAAGTCCCATCATTGGGGGGTCCTTCTGTTTATTTAGCTATAAAATGGCTATGACGACATAAGGGCCTCCGAAGGGTGGAGGGAAAACTGTTGGGGGGGGGACCCCACAGAAACAAAAAAGGCTTTGAAATGCTTTGGCAAGTTCCACCTATGTAGTAGACATTCGCTTTTTTATTTATTGATTTGATTCTGATTGGACAAAATGGACTTTAGAATTCAGAAGTAGAAATCCATTTGGAGCAGCATAGCATAGAGGGTAGAGATCAGATTTATGGGTCAGGAAGCCTAGTCCTTCCTCTGACATATGCTGTTTGTGTTACCTTGAGCAAGTCATTCTATGTGCCTCAGGCAACACCTCAAGACACAAAGCTGCAGAGCTCATGCTCCTTATGAGGAGCTCCCCATAGCAATAAAATCAAAGGTTCACACCCAAAAGAAGTTTAGCTATAATGATACAATGTCATTTCTGATTTCTCATATTTTATGGCTTCTGGTCCCTCTCCTCCCCGACCCCCAGTACCATCTTTCTCTGGTTGTGATAACTGCCAGTATTTCGCAGATAAGAAATCTTATTTAAAAAAAACAACAGGAAAAATATGGAGATTTGTAACATCATTGCAAGACCTTTAGTGATAGAGTAGATTCTTGGAATGGAATGGAATGCAATGTTCTAGTTCATCACACATTCTAGTTCATAGAGAGTTGTCATACATAGCAAACACAGACAACCTATTTTCAAAGCATTCTAATATAATTAAATGTAGTTAAGATCAAACAGGACACAATGTGATCTCTGAAGGCACAGCAGAGTAATCGTTCAGAACTTCTCTGGTCCTTCTTTTTGTGACCTTGACAAGTCATTTAACCTCTATGGCCCTTAGTTTCTTCATCTATCATATGTAGGGGTTGGATTAGATGACCTCTCACCTATCTTCCAGCTCTAAAAATGATTAATTATCATCACATAATCTTAGAGTTGGAAGTAGGGGTGTTCTGGTAAATACTTAATGACCAGCTTTCCAGGGAGAAAAATGTACACAGAATACACTTTTAAGTGTAACCATGAACATTTTCTTTATTCCTTTCTTAAGTGTAGACAAGCAACAAAACAATGAATCAAGCCCAAATGTGTAGTGTTTCTGATTCCTGAGGTATAAATGCTCACACTGAAAATTTAACAATCTGCCCTCACAAACCAGTTTGAGCTGGCTCCAGCACATGCCTGGTTGGAAGGACTCCCAGGGACCAGGTAGTTCAGCTCATGCAGGAACCCAAATCCCCTCTGAGATATCATGACAAGAGGGCCTCCAGCTTCTCTTTGAAGACCTCCCATGAAAGGTATCACTACTTCCTCCCAAAGAAGTTCATCCCCCAAGCTCAACCTGTGCAAAAGTGCCAATTAAACATGGCACTAGAATACCAGTTTACTGAAAAGACCAAAAACATGAGCAGGGTGCAATGGAAAGAATGTTAGCTCTGAAGTCAAAGGCTGTGAATTCAAATCCTGGGGCAGTCAGTGGCACAGTAGATAGAGCACCAGCCCTAGAGTCAAGAGGATTTGAGTTCAAATCTGACCTCAGACACTTGACACTTATTAGCTGTGTGACCCTGAGCAAGTCATTTAACCCCGAATGCCTCACCCAAAAAAAAAAATAGTACTCGAGGTGTTTACTTGACAAGTCACCCAAGTCATTGGGCATCCCTACCTGGGGCCAAGTTTCTTAACTATAGAGAACCTCAATTTTTCCCCAGCTGCAACAGATGGCTTCTGAAGTCTTTTCTAGCTTCTGGTCTATTCTCTTATGTTCCTGCCTTGTCAAGCAAACTACCATACCTCTGTGATTGCCCCTCACAGAGTGCTGGGGTTTTGGACCCCTCAACCCAGGTGGGGAAATATGACAGTCTTTCTGCTTGTTTGGCAGGTGAAGATGCATACTGTGTCCTCCATCCATCTCTTCTACCTGGCCTTGTGTTTGCTCACCTTGACCAGTTCAGCCACGGCAGGGCCCGAGACGCTCTGCGGAGCCGAGCTGGTGGATGCTCTTCAGTTTGTTTGCGGAGAAAGAGGTTTCTACTTCAGTAAGTTACCCTCTCCCTGGTCCCTAAATTTTAATTCCTAAAGTCAGAAGTTTGCTTCTGTGGATTTCCAACTGCAGAGTGTGCTGGCAAATGATTGAACCATAGGGCTTGCCACTGGCTGCTCTCCTAAGGCTCTGAGATTCCTTACCTTAAAGTAAGCATAATGTTTCAGAGGGGAGTTGGCAAAGGAATCCATCTGGGGATGGAATTTTCCTTCTTAATATTCTGCCTTTTCACTGCTCCTGGTTCATCCTTCTCTCTACCTTTGAGATAGCATGGCAGAGCACAAAGAGCACTAGCTTTGGGGTTAAAGGACTTGGGTTCAAATCCTGCCTCCTCTCTGAACGCTGGTGAATCATTAACTTGTAGGTACCACAGCTTCAATATAAAATGAAGAGTTGGCCCAGAGGGCCTCTCAGGCCTCTTCCAGCTCTGAATCTGTGCTCCTATAAGTCACTTAACCTCCTTGGCTCTCAGTTTACTCATCTCTGAATAGGGAGAGATAGAAGGTCCTTTCTAGCTCTATCTATGATTCTGTGAGTTTTGAAATGAGAGGGTTAGACAAGATGACACTTAAAGGTGTGTGCATGTCTGAATGTGTGCAGAAGTATATATACTTGTTTCCAAAGTATGCATAACTCTGGGCTAAATATAGCTTATTGTGGTACACTGAAAATAATGCTAATTTTGGAGTCTGAAGACCTGGGTTCTAACCTTGGCTCAGCTATTTATTGCCGTCACCTGTCTGCGGAGAAGTCACTTTCCACCACTCTGGCCCTCAGTTTCCTCATTTGTAAAATGAGGGCATTAATCTAGATGACCACTTCTAAGGTTTATTCCAGGTCCAAATGGTTTATCCTTTTGGCAGAAATTTACTACCAGGTTACATGGATGATCAATGCTATGGCCAATTAGGATGACAGGAGATGGGTCGTGGTGACCAACACAACATGGAAACAAAATAAATACAAAGTGAAATCACAATCTGTTCTCTGTGAGAGCCAAGTTGTGATTTTCATAAAGGCTTAGCATTGACTTGGGAAAGCTGAGGAACTATAGACTCATTCTCTGGTTACTATCTCCACATGAAAGGGAATCTTTATGAAAAGAGCCAGAGCATAGTAGGGCTTTTTTTTTTAATGAGAGCTGGCTAAAAGCATGACATTTTAATGCTTCCAAGACACTCAAGTCTTCCTTGACACATTATGTATTCATGAGATTCATAACATTCAAATGAATTTAACCCTTTGGATTCAATTGTCCTATACTGTAGGGTAGGGAAAGATCCCAGAACCAGATAATTCTCCTAAGCAGCTCTGTGGAATTTCAGACTTCCACTGGCCACTGACTGGGTCTTGTGATCCAAGCAATGAGAATGTGGACCTCATCATGTGTAAGTCATCCTGAAGGCTTTGTATCACCAGAAGGCAGAGAAGTCTTCTCAGTTCTCCTCTCAGCTCTGAAGAATAGATACTCATCTCTCGTGCTATTCCAGATCTTCTCTCTCAGGAATGGAGAAACCTGATGATCTGACCTCTCTACTGATTTGAGAGAGAGCCATCTTTAAGGGAAAGTGCAGGGGAAGGACAATTCCATGTACTCTTTGGTGCCTTCTGTCTTATGGAATGAATGGTTATCTATTTCCAGCCAGTGATTCAATCAAGTGGAGATAATTTATTTTCTCAGAATAGATACTTTCTTTTCAATTCTTTGAATTTCATATTAATAAATGCAGAATGAAAATGAATTTTTAAGAAATTAATATTGTTTTTAACATGACCTTCTGACATATACATGATATTGCAAAAAAAAAAAAAACAAAGCAGCCTACTCCTTCTGTGAATCATTGATCTTCATTCAGTTTTCTGAATTTCAGTGTCTCCCACTTAGCCCAAAGTGGATTTTCTTTTTATTTCAACCATCTGCTCTTACTGTCTCCATTCACTTAACTGCATGACTATCAGGTCTCTACTTTGTTTGGGCCGGTCAAAAAAAAATATCACTAATGATAAAATATACCTCCCTCTTCTAAGCAGACTCTTAAATATGGAATGAGGCATGTTTTGTCAGATATGGCCAATGTGTTCATTTGTCTTAAATGTTCTTCTTTCTTAGAAAGGAGGGTTCAGAGCTGGCAGGGGAGAGAAATATTGAGAAATATCACTGATTTTAAAAAGAAAAATGTCCATAAAGCATTGTTTTTGAAAAATCCTAAAATCATAGATCTTGAAAGGACCTTGGAGGTTATCTAGAACAACCCCCTCACTTTACAAATGAAGGGGGCCTAGAGATGTTAAGTCATATAGTTGGTAAGTAACAGAGGTGAGATTCAAACTCAGGTCCTATTACTTCAAGTTCAACAGGAGATGCACTGCACCATGCTGCCTTGATAACCATGATCATTCCAAAAAATCATCCACTGACTGGTCATTCGAACTGTAGAATGTAATATGGCAGTCTCCAAGATTCCAAAGCCTAGACATAGAAATAGAGCCTTTTGGTACCCATGAGACATACATGTGTATGATTTTTCTTAAAAATAGGATGGAAAGCAGAGATTAGGTCTTAAGCCAGTTTATGATTATGTTACATATGCTCACCACCCCCTCCAGATAATCAAAATTCTTTAGTAATGATGATGGAAACAAACGATGGATTTCCACAAGTTTCCTTGGGTTATGTTTGGAATACAAGGCTCTACCCATTCCTTCCCTGGGGGTAGAGGGAGTGGTTGTAGCTGAAATTTTAATTCAGGAAGTTCAAAGAATAAGAGCTATGTGTGAAAAATCTTGACATACTGACATCTCCTTGGGAGAAAAGTATTCTACGAACTCAAGGGATCCTGTATTCATATTACCCTTGTTGCTTCATTTATCTGAGAATGGTATGTCTCTGCTGATTTATAAAGTGGATTGATTTCGTTTAGATTACTGGTCTGACATAAGATACATATGGGGGCCTTTCTGATCATCAGACTCAGAACAGGAAAATTCTCCTTCTGCTCCAAGGAGAACAAACTGCTAAGGTCATCTCTCAGCCTCATTCCTTTCTATCAGATTCCTTTTCTAACCAAGTTTCATCAAACCTAGTATAATTTTCTTTTTCCCAGAATCCAAATCCAACTCAGAGTAGGCTCCCATTCAGATGTCCCACGGTGAATTTCCTCCAAGATAAGCAAGTGAGATAAATGTTCTTATAACCAGAGGAATCCCAGTTTAAGAGCGATGTCAATATGAATTTGTAAGACTTCAGCTCTCCTCTTTCTCCCTGGGTTTCACTAGCAATATTTAAGGCTGCCAAAATGTTTGGAAGTTAGTGGTGGTGGTTATTGTTTTATGACTAACTAAGATGTCAACTGATTCTAAATTAATTGGTTGCATTAGAGAAAGAGATTGATAATGTGCCTTGCATCTCAGCCAGTTACTCTTATGAGTATTAACTGTCATCAATAAATTTTTATTGAGTTAATTTTTTTGCCCTTTTGAGATTTATAGTGAAAGGAGATATCTGCCCTCAGGGTTTATATTCTTCAGAATGGTGTTTGGTATAGAAAATGAGTTAGAGAATGATAGTCCCAGCTTTCACCAAATGCTATGAAAATATAAGCCATTAGTATTGTAAATCTGTTGTGCTCTCACTTACTTTTCTCCTTCAGGAACAAAGAGAAATTTCCCAACCTCTCACATATGTGAGATCAGTAAGCTATTCAATTAAGTATTGTCTTACATCAAAGAATCACAGGTTTAAAGCTGGAAGAGACCTCACAGGCCATCTACTCCCAATTCTTCATTTTAAAGAGAAGGAAATTGAAACCCAGAGAGGCTAATTAACTTGTCCAAGCTCACATAGGTGGTAGGTAGGAGTCAGGATTTGAAAACAGAGCCTTTAACTTCTGACCCAGTACTCTTTCCACTATACCATGCTGCCTGTCAAGATTGCCCAAGAGATCTCAGAGTTTGGTTCAGGGTCAAGAAAAACCTTACTAACCAACAAAGTTGTCCCAAGGTGGAATGGGATATCTGTGGAGTAATGAGTTCCCCATCCTTAGAAGCCTTCAAGCAAAGCCTGGTAATAACTTATTGGGAATGAGGTTAAGGGGACTCTTGGTTAGGTACAAGTCAACCCAAATTACCTTAGAGTTCCCATACAACTCAGAGATTCGATGATTTTTTTTTCACATAAGCCACATTTCCATGACTTCAGAGTGAAAGTATTTCATGGGCCTTCTTTGCTTCCTTGACATATTTTTAGTGAAAGGAGACCTCATCCATAATTAACCTGAGTTTCACAGATGTTTCATGGGAGTGAATTCTAAATGAAGAGCTCATGGCCAACCCTTAGCCACGTGCCACAGTGATAGATATTAACTTCAAGACTCAAACACTTTATCTGTATTCTGTGGGAATATCAGTGGAATAAAAAGTACCATAGCATTCTTCAATGAAACACAACTCAACCAGACTGCCAAGGTCCTTTCAGAAGGCTGGGTTATCCTAATCATCATCACACAAAAATGGAGACAGCCAGCTGCTAGTTTAGGTGAAGACCAGTCAAGAGACAGAGGAGCTGGATATACCAGTCTCTAGAGGTGTTTTCTTGATCTAGGTTTTGTCAAGAATTTATACAATCTAATTCAATTCAGGAAATAAATTTTGAGGAACTATTATGTCCCAGGCACTGTAAACCAATCGCCTTAGTGCGTTGTGTTACTGTTGCATATATTGTCTTTTACCTGACTCTTCATAATTATTTTAATGGTTATGTATTGGGACCACCGAGCTTGATAAGTGGTCATTATGAGTAGAGTTGGTTCTCAAAATGTTAACTATGCTATAAATGATCGTCTAATTAGAGGGTACTAATGAGAGCTTACAACCTACCAAAACTTGGCCCCAAGAGCACCCCAAACATTTCTGAAATCGACAACCCTGTTATTAAATAAACAAGTGTGCTGGGCTACCCTTTGGACACAAAGATGATGCCTTCTCCACAATTAAGGC